CCTAAACCATCTCTTCATCCTCAATCTCACCTCTCCTCCCTCTTCTCCTCCTCCCTCCTCCTCCTCCTCCCTCCTCCTCCTCCTCCTCCTCCTCCTCCATCTCACCTCTCCTCCTCCTCCTCCTCCTCACCTCTCCTTCTACTTCTCCTCCTCCTCCTCCATCTCACCTCTCCTTCTTCTCCTCCTCCTCCATCATCACCCCCCCCCCCCCCTCCTCCTTCACAGTGAGCTGATGAAGTGATATGATGTGTTGTGGGGGGGGGGGGGTCTTTGTGGAAGGACTTCTGGTGGCGACTCCCTGACCCCCCCCGGTATGCAGAGCGGGCCTCGGCTGTCGCCGGCTAATCACGGCGAGGATGATGGATGGTGTTTATTCTGCCGTGATGGACGCCCCCCCCCCAATGATAATTGTAATGAAAGGATCAAGCTGGCGATTGATTAAATTATCACAGCATAATCTGCGTCAGTGGCAGAGGGGGGCTTGTTAGAGCCAGAGTCCACCTTGAAAAGTCGCCCGTGCCCTTGCACGTGCCCGCCCGCAGAGAGGACGACACCGTCACATGACGGAGGAGCTCTCCGCTGTCTCTGCTTGACATATTTATGAATAATTTATCTTTCGTTATTCTGTGACGTTAATCTGCAGAACTTCCTTCAAAATGCTGTTTGACTCAAAAAGTTTCTCATGAAGAAAACTGATTGTTTGACCTCGACGGGAGAGAAAAACATCAAACGCATTCAGATTATTTATGTAGAACGATGCAAACGTTATATTCCAGTGAAACTTCATGTGTTTACAGGAATGACTTTTTACTAATTCATTGAAATCGTCTCAACGACAACAATGATCCATATTTAATGAGGTTCAATCAACTGGACGTTTTACTCATCGAGCTGCTGAAGAAACATCAGAAACCAAATCGATCAAACTTTAAACGTCACCAAGTTCAAGCCCGAGAGACAGGAAGTCACCGCCAAAATAAGATGACCAGTAATTCTGATTTCATTCAGAGCAACCTGAAACAGTCTGAAGCTCTGAAGCTCTCTCTGCTGGAGACCAGAGGAACATCAGCACACACGTTGTTTAAGAAGCTCAGGAGCAGCATAGCAGAGGAAAAACTCATGAGCTCTAAAACAGCCACCGATGTGAAATGTCTCCATGTCGTCGATGAACCGAATGTTTTTACAGGCGACATGCTGCTTGGTGGTGTTGCTTCTGATGACGTGGACAAGCTAGAGACTATAAATCAATCCCCAGGCTCCGTTTCAAGTATTATAGTAGAGGTTTAACTTCATTCACACCTGAGGTGTGAAACCCAGCTGTTTAGAGTCGGTTGACTCAGATACTCACAGTATGAAGGCAGCATGAACGGAGCCACGATACTACGAGTTACCATGACAACCACAAACTGTATATTCACCCCTATCGAGCTGCACATATTAACGCAAGCGACGAGTATGAAGCCGCAATGAGACGGAAAAGCAACTCGCTGCTGCAGCAAAACACAGAGAACGTAGTGTTATATTCAACGTGCACACTGATCATAATCCACCGCTACTGCTACCAGTACTACCAGTACTACTGCTACCAGTACTACCAGTACTACCACCACTACTGCTACCAGTACTACCAGTACTACCAGTACTACCACCGCTACTGCTACCAGTACTACCAGTACTACCACCGCTACTGCTACCAGTACTACCAGTACTACCACCACTACTGCTACCAGTACTACCAGTACTACCAGTACTACCACCGCTACTGCTACCAGTACTACCAGTACTACCACCACTACTGCTACCAGTACTACCAGTACTACCAGTACTACCACCGCTACTGCTACCAGTACTACCAGTACTACCAGTACTACCAGTACTACCACCGCTACTGCTACCAGTACTACCAGTACTACCACCACTACTGCTACCAGTACTACCAGTACTACCAGTACTACCACCACTACTGCTACCAGTACTACCAGTACTAACCACCACTACTGCTACCAGTACTACCAGTACTACTGCTACCAGTACTACCAGTACTACCAGTACTACCACCACTACTGCTACCAGTACTACCATACTACCACCGCTACTGCTACCAGTACTACCAGTACTACCAGTACTACTGCTACCAGTACTACCAGTACTACCACCACTACTGCTACCAGTACTACCAGTACTACCAGTACTACCACCACTACTGCTACCAGTACTACCACCACTACTGCTACCAGTACTACCAGTACTCCTCCTCGTCCCGTCCTGATTAATACTCATCATGAATATCAGGCGGGTGGAGTCAACTGACGGGTGGAGCTCCGCAGTGGGACGAGGTCGTCTCCATATTAAGCAGGCGGGTCAGGTGAGTCCTCTGACTCCGCCTCCCAGGGTAAACGGGGGAACTGACCCTGGCGCCTCTGCCGGCTGAGCCCGCCCCTTCCCATCATGCACAGGGGCACACAGCCAGCTCCCAGGAGCCCCGGCCCGCCGGCCGCCATCTGCCGTGATTTATAGAGAACGGCCGATGATTTATGAGCCAGTCATCGCACAATGAAGTCGCTTTCTTTCATTTGGGCGACCTCGCGACCTCACCGCCACTCCCAGCCAGGTGGGGGGAACGAGGGGGGGGGGGTTAATGAAATTAAGTTACAGCTGCGTGTGCATGCGATGAGGCCTCTGTGACGGCACGCGACCACCGCCGAGAGACGCTACCAGAGACGCCTGCAAGGGCTACGATCAAACGCCCCGCAAGGTCTACAAATCAACACCCCGCAAGGGCTACGAATCAAACGCCCCGCAAGGCTACGAATCAAACGCCCCGCAAGGTCTACAAATCAAACACCCCGCAAGGGCTACGAATCAAACACCCCGCAGGGCTACGAATCAAACGCCCCGCAGGGGCTACAAATCGAACACCCGTAGGTCCCCTCACTGTCGCAGGTGAAATGTAATCGATTGGTAAGTACATTTGATTTTTCAGCAGATCACATATAATATAAATATATTTATTTGTTTCTCTCTTCTTAGTTAATAGAGTGAAATGTCTTACTGTCCATGATGGTCTGTCCCTCACATCCGGGTCCTCGTCCTGCAGCAGAGACACACGGGTCACGGTCCGGTCCCTGCAGCAGCACAGCGGACGGGTGGAGGACGGGTGGAGGCTTAAAGTAGAACATCTGGCGCCATCTGGCGGCTGCGGCCTTTAGTTCTTTGATTTAGTTTCATTTAGTTTTAAAGTTAAAAACATTTTCAACATGAAAAAGTGAAAGACGTCGTTCCTACGACTCGTCATCGAAGGGATCCAGCTGCTCCTGATGGATCAGCTGGTTCCAATCAGGCCACATGGTGAGCAAGGCCCCTGGGAAATGTAGTCCGAGTGTGTAGCGTCCAACAGGCCTCACCGATGAGGGAAGAAGTACTGATAGTTTACTTTATTAAGACACGTGTACTTTAAAGTACTTATTCTACAAAAATGATGTCTGTGAGAGGTAGTATGACATGAAGTACAGCGTGTACCTCTCAGATGTAGTAGAGTAAAAAGTACTACGTTGACCTGAGATTTAGAAATACACACAAGGTAAAATACCTCAGTAACAAAATACCAGAACAACTAAACCAAAAGGAAAAAACAAAGATCTGTATTCATTGTAGAGACTCTTGATCGCATTGATCATTATATGCTAATTGATCATCACACACATCAATGATTAGATATTAATTATGTTTTAAATCATCGTGACAAAAGACAACAGAGGACAGAAGTCTGACGGTTTATTTCCAGTTGTCTAAGCGTGTAATATGTACATATACAGACAGGAACATAAATAAAGTGTAGTGTTTAATAGGGAGGGTAAGGGGGCGGGGCCATGCATATTCACAGCTCATTGGTGGAGCAGCAGCGCGGTGGGTTCAGGTGAGGCACGCGTTCAGGAATAAAGGAAACTACGTCTCATGTGTGTTAGTGGTCCTTTAAATGTGCACGAAGGAGTAAAGGATGAATTCCACATTCGTGTAACAGTCCGAGGAGCAGTAAGGCCTTCAGGAAGCGCTGTGTAGCCGCATAGCTTAGCTTAGCATAGCCTAGCATAGAGGCTGGAAACAGGAAGGGAGCCTCCTTTGTCTCCTTTAACGTTCACGATAACTTTAATATTCCTTTAATATTAAATATTAATATTCCCCTCGGGGCTTTATTGCTAAACGTGTTTTACGTTCACGTGATGATATTCATGGAATCATTCAGATCACATTTAGTTCACATATTTATGCTCTTCTCTTTACGACACACTCAGGACTTTGACGTAATTAAAACATTTGTGTATTTATGTTACAGTTTGAATACGTTTATAAGATTTAAAAATGATGTTAGTTTGTTCTCTGTGATTTTAAATATATAAATAAAGATGCAACGCTCAACAGCTTCATTTCCATTTAAATGCAAATCGGCTTTTGTCAAATTATTTAAATTAAAGGCTCTTTTACTACATTTCCTCTTAATAGAGTGTGTTTTTGGTCCCATTATGAAACTAAACTACATCACAAGGTGAAAAAAGTCGGCTTTCATTTTTTTCAGATGCAACGATATTCAAACATACTATTGATATTGATTCCAGTGGTGATGATTATATTAATGTGAACCTTAAAATAAAATCTATATAATAAATAATAAAAAAGGAAATTATTATTACTCATTAAAATCGAAATTATTCTTAATTTAAATGACTTATGAGGGAGTTTACGTGGTGACGATGTTTGAATATTAACATGTTTAAAGGAACTAAATGTGTGAAACAACGTCAGCTGTTAACTCTTCATCATTGATCCACGCCGACAGGAAGTAGCATCTCACAGCTTATGAACGACGGCGTTGAAGGTTCAGGAGGAACAACATACATTCAATACTCCGAGAAGCTTCTGAGGAACCAAAACTCTGACAGGTGTCCTCCTGCAGGTGGAAGGAGGCGCTCTGGATGCTACGCTAACGCTAGCAAATCCAGAGGAGTTGCAGCAGGTATTAAGGCTCGTAAGACGGAGGCGCAAACAAGATGAAGGACCGAGCTCTGGAGGAGGAGCTCTGCAGGAACGAGGTGACGGTGGGTGGGGAGGAGGAGAGGAGGAGGAGCTAGTATGAGGAGATGTCGGAGGAGCTGCTGCTGTTGCTGTGGAGGTCTGAGCTCTCTTGATGTAGAGGTTGAGCAGCTTCATCTGCAGGAGGGAAACAGTCACATCTTTCTCCCGTGGCAACAGAGCAAACGCCGGGGGGGCGGGGCCTACCTTGCTGCCGGTCAGCTGGGCCAGGTAAGGCTTCAGCTCCTCCCCGATCACCGAGTAGACGGCCACCAGGCAGAAGACGCTGGCCTTCCTCACGCTGCTCTCCGTGTTGTCGTAGCCCTGCAGCGGCACGGAGGCGTCAGCCTCTCTGGAGGGGGGAGGAGCGGGGGAGGAGCGGGGGAGGGGGGGGTCTTACCTGCAGCAGCCCCGGGATGATGTCGGACAGCACTGATGCAGGCGGCTCCCTGGCGGTGCGTTCGATGGCCCTGGTCTGCATCTTGATGGCGGCCAGTTTGACGGGGTAGTCGGCCGTCTGCACGATGGGGCAGAGGACCTTGATGCACTGCTCCGGGTGGACGGAGGCCGCCGGGTGGAGGCCGCCTCCCCGCCGCACCACCACACCTGCAGTGCAAACACAGGCTGTAAGAGCTGTCGGCCCAGTCGAGTTTCTCCTCTTTCCGACGGCCCCGAACACAGCTCTTTATATTTCTCTTATCTAGATCTATATCGATACCAGTCCATGGCGCCGGGTTCAGAGCCCCGGCCACGCCCCCTCCAAGCAGGGCCCACCTCCTTGTGCGGGTCCTTGTGCGCCTCCAGCGTCTTCATCACCGTCAGCTCGGCGTAGTTTCTTGAAGCGCGCCGGCTGGTTCCTCAGGATCTCCTTCAGGACTCGCAGGCCAGCGCCCGGATGGTGTGCTGGAGAGAGGGGGGGGGGTGGGGGGGTCAGAGAGCGCCCAACCACACGCCTTGGCGGTCGGGGGGG